AACAAAACATAACAAACAAACAAAAACAATAAAAATAGAAGAAATAAACATGCACAAAGATAGTTAACAAATCTTTGACAAAAGAAAAAAGGCATAGAGAGATACCCCTTTCAAGAAATAGTGCTTGGAGTGATTGAAAAGACACATGCAAAATTTTAAAAAATATGTGTTAACACAGACCTCACACCTTTCACAAAATAAACTCAGTATGGCTAATAGATATAAATGTAATGCTCAAGCCTACAAAACTAGTAGAAGATAATGTAAGAGGATTTCTAGAGGACCTTTGGTTTGTCAGTAAGTTTTTAAACACAACGCCAAGAACACAATCCATGGGGGGAAAATGAAATCTTTGACTTTATAAAAATTTAAAACTTCTTGTGAAAAATACCGTTTAAGAGCATGAAAAGAAAACCCACAGAGAGAGAGAATACTTACAAAATACATATTCCATGAAGGAGTTGTCTCCAAAATATGCAAAGAACTATTAAAACTCAACAATAAGAAAACAACCTACTCAAAAAATGGGCAAAAGATCTGAACAGACACCTCACCAAGAAGATGGGAAACAGCATGTGAAAAGAAGCTCATCATATTCCGTTAGAGAATTACAAATTAAAACAATAAGCTACCTCTACACACACTAGATAATGACTAATATTTTTTTAAAAACCTAACAATACAAATGGCTAGTGAGAATGTGTATTAACAGGAACTCTCATTCATTACTAGTGGGAATTCAAAATGGTAGTCACTTGGAAGATAATCTGGTAGTTGCTTACAAAGGTAAGCACTGTTTTACCATATCATCAACCATTGTAGTCCTAAGTATTTACTCAGCTGAGTTGACACTTACATCCACACAAGAAGGTTTATAGCAGCCTTATTCGTAATCACTAAAACCTGGAAGCAACCAAGATCTTCCTCAAAAGCCGAACAAATACATAAATGGCGGTGCATCCAGACTGTGGGATATTATTCAGTGGTAAAATGAGCAATCAAGCCACCGAAAGACATGGAGGAATCTTAAATGCACATGTCTAAGTGAAAGAAGCCGGACTGAAAAGGCTACCTACCAGATGATTCCAACTACTATATTACCTTCTCAAAAAGGCAAAAGTAGGGAACAGTAAAAAATCAGCAGTTGTCCCAGATTTGGAGGAAGAACAAGCTGAATGGACAAAGCACAAGGGATTTTTAAGACTGGAGTTCTTCTGTCTGATTCTGTACTGACGGATTCATGACATTATGCAGGTGTCAAAACCCATAGAACTGTACAGCACAAAGGGCGAGCCTGAGTATAAACAAGGGATTGTAGTTAATAACCATGTTGTCTATCAACTCTAACAAGTGTACCACGCTAACGTGAGCTGGTAACAATGGGAGAAAGCGAGGGAGTGGGAGAGGGCCCATATGGAAACTCTGTAATAGCTGCAAATTTTTTTGTAAACATGAAATTGTTCTGAAGAATAAAGTCTATTTTTTTCCAGTCAGTCCAGGGATCCTCCTTTATATGAACACAATCTGGCATTTTTCTAAGTAAAATTTCTCTGTTTCCAACATTTGAATCTCACTTCTCTGTGCAAGATTTTCTTTAGTTTTTTTATTTCCTAGGTCATTTCTGTCAGAATTAAGGGGTGGGGTAGTGAGAATTCAGACATATGTCCTCGAGCTGCCATCTGTTCTCCGAATGGTATCCCATATGTTGTTGATGTGTGGAGTTTTCATTGTTGACATTTATGAATTGACTATAATTGTACTTTGATTTCCTTCTTGACTCGAGTTAATTATGAGGGTTTTTAAATCTCCAAGTGGTATTTTTTTAAATGTTACTAATTTCAGCTTCATTGCTCATTGTTTTAAATATGCAGATTGCTTAAATCCTACTTTTTGGAACTATTGAGGGCTTGTGAGGGTTTTTTCTTAGCAGTTTAGTATATTACCAATTATTCAAACATTGCGTAGATATTTAACAGCAATGTATGTCATTCTTACATTACAAAGGTTAATTTTTCTATCTATATATTTGGTGCTTTTTTCTCTGTAAGGTTTTGAACATTTTTATTATATATATTGTTATATGTAAGTTTATGCACTTTCTATTGCCAGTCTGTATTGTATGTTTTATCAGTATAAATAATCCTTTATCACATGTAATGTTATTTGCCTTAAATTTATTGTGACAAACAGAGTTTGGTGGTTGTCTCAGTCACCTGATTTTAATCTTACTATGTTAAGTTTGTCTTGCTTTCTTTTTTTCTTTTCATTTCGTTATTAAATAAATAATATTAGGCTGAAAAATATTAGACTGAAAAAAAGGGTGCTCAAATTAGCCACATGCTGATCCCTGCAAGTTTTGTATGTTACCTAAAAATGGCAAAGATTAACTTTGTAGATATGATTAAGTTAAGGATCTTGAAATGGGGAGATTATCCAGAGTTATTCCTGTGAGTTCTAAATACAGTGGTAAGGAGGCAGAAGGAGATTTGACTCACAGAGAAGGGGTGAAGGCATCAGAACCACTGGTGTCCAATTCCAAGCCAAGGAATGCTGGCAGCCACTTGAAGCTGGAAGACGCAAGGGACGGATTCTCCTGTGGAGTTTCTAGAGAAATGTTGGCCCTGCCAACACCTTGATTTGGGTCCAGGAGAACTGCTTTTGTACTTCAGTCTCTAGAGCTATGGGAGAATAAATTTAAGTTATTTGAAGCCACCAAGTTTATAGTAATTTTTTTACAGTATCGATAGGAAGCTGATACACTAATTTTCTTAATTTTTACTTTATTATATCATAGCTTCCCTTTAATTTTGGATTTAACATATCTCTATCAGAGCAAAAACAAAAGAGATAACTAAAATGTCTACGTGGAAATTCAACATAATTTGTCTCCTTTTACATATTCTCCCTCCTTATGCAACTCCCTAGATTTCTTTACTGAAAGTTCTCTATTTATATTTGTAATTGTTTTGTGAACAGTTTTTTTCTAATTTCATTGCTTACTATAATTGTTATTATTCTATCTGCTTTTCTCTTCTTGAGTTCTTAATTTTGAAACAATTCTTAATCATATGAGTATTTCCTCAAGGAGGATTTTTAGGACAAGTATGCAATGTTATATTTTTTTCTTTCTTTCTTTTTTGAGACACAGTCTCACTATGTCACCCTCAGTAGAGTGAGTGGTGTCTTAGCTCACAGCAACCTCTAACTCTTGGGCTTAAGCGATTCTCTTGCCTCAGCCTCCCAAGTAGCTGGGACTACAGGCACCTGCCACAGTGCCTGGCTATTTTTTGGTTGTAGTTGTCGTTGTTGTTTGGCAAGCCTGGGCTAGGTTCAAACCTGCCAGCTCTGGTGTATGTGGCCAGTGCCCTAGCCTCTGAGCTACAGGCACTGAGCCTATTTTTTTCTTCTTATATTTCTAAGAAAATTGTTCTATACCTTGGCACAGAAATGATATTTACAAAGTTCTTGGATCACAATTTTTCTTTTAAAACTCCGAACATGTTTTTATACTGTTTCCTGGCATCTTTGTGGAGAAGAGGCATGATAATTTGAGATGCATTTCTTTTAGTTAACCTTTAATTTTGTACCCTGTGAAGATGTTTAATCTCTGAAATCAAATACTCTTTCTGACTGTGTCTCAAAGTCAGTTTCTTTTTATCAATGTTGCCTGTTCCTCTAGCCACCCTATTTTGTGAGTCTTCCTCCCGCTCCAGATTCTGACCTGTGTCAGCTCCTTACTCACAACTCACTGCCGACGTCCCAGTTTCTGCTGACCTTCTCACCGTGACCTTCCACCCCAAAAGGCTCTGCCATTAGGGTCTCAATGGCATCCTTCTCAATGCCGTCTCCTCTACTCTATGTAACCAGCCTTAATAATTCTGAATTCATGGATGACACACAGAATGGCCAGTTTTCTCTAGGGAGATAATTATCTGATTTTTTTCTTACTAAAAAAAAGCTTAGCCATCTATTTTCTCTTTCTCCATTAATCACCTTTTTAACAAGAGGAGGATTTCTAAAAAAATAACAAAGAAAAACAGTGTTGATCATTAGACCCGCTGATACTTGGGTGTTAGTGTCTGAGCCACAGAAGGAACCAAAAGGTACAAATTCAGAATGAAGGTGATTTTGAAGGAGAAAATCAAACACTCACCCTTAGACTTCAGCCCTTCAAGTTATTCTTGGGCACCCTCTGGACTTAATCCTAAGGGTTACAGAGAAAAGCTGTAGTTGGACTAAATGAGGCTCTGAGTTATCCCAAAAATTTTTTAGCAGGAGCATCCTTTCAGAGATATTTCATTTAATTACATTATAAAAATGCTCCTCTTAGAAGAGATACTAGCTTCTTATATCCCAATAGCCTTTTTCTGCTAAGGATGCAGATATAATAGTACCACACAGAAGATAACAATGGGTGTGACTAAATTTATTAAAAGAAAGTATGGAAAGGAGAGAGAGCAGATGCAGGGGGTGAAGCTGGTGAAGTGGATGTGGACGTGGAGCTCTCTCATGGTGTCAGCCCTGATGATGATAAATGATCCAAAACAGCACACGGGCTCCCTGAAACCGGAACCTTCCATCATCTCTCAACAACTCACACTGGCAAAAGGCAAATGAACTTTTGTTTCTAATTATTCTGGAATGTCAATTGTGACAGAGAAAATTAGTTTAGCTTTAAAAGTCAATTACAAACAAATGTACCATGCAAATGTCAAGAAGGACTGATCCTGAAATATGGAGTTTCCAAGAGCCACATGAATGAGTCACCAAGAAAAGGGCTAGAAGGATTCCACCCGTTGCGGCTAGCAACGCAAATCCCAGCACCAAGGGTCAAAATTTGCCTCCCGCATGGAGACACAGATATTTTCCTCCCTCACCCAAATCTCATCCCTACCTTGGTTCAATTCCAAGCTTTCTAAATAGTACCAAATGTTACTCTTTCCGCTCTGTGTGCTCTCCCATCTCTATGCAGTCACGTACCTCTTCTCTTCTGTCTTTAGGTTGTGCTGCTCTATGCCTCTACCTACGTCCTGGTGTCCCTCAGCATAGATAGATACCATGCCATCGTCTACCCCATGAAGTTCCCGCAAGGAGGTGAGCTGGCGTAAGGGGTTATTTTGTAAGGAGTCCCCCATGAGCAAGGGTGGGATTGTTTTCACTAATTATCTCACTTATATTTTACTCTTCATAATAGTTCTCTTTCTCCCTCTTTCCTCTCTCCCTCCTTCCCTCTTTGTTCTCTTCCTTTATATCTTTCCCTACTTCATGGGTATGATTTTCCAAAATCATGTAGAAAGAAAACTTGGGGCAGGGTGTGATGTTTCATGCTTACAACTCCAGCCCTCTGGGAGGCTGAGGCAGGATGATTGTTTAAAATCAGGATTTCGAGATCAACCTGGGCAAAACAGAGAAATTCCTGTCTCTGCAAAACATTAAAAAAAAAAAATGGTGGGCATAGTCTGTAATCTTAGCTACTAGGGAGGCTGAGGCAGGGGGATCACTTCAGCCTGAGAGTTTGAAGTTGAAGTGAACTCTGATCATGCACTCTAGCCTGGGTGACAGAATGAGACTCTGTCAAAAGAAAGAAAGAGAGACAAAAAGAGAGAAACAAAGCCAGACTTGGTGCCTAGGAAAATGTTGATTGTTTCCACAGATGGCCCAGGGTCCTTAAAGAAAGTGTATTGCTGGATTTACTTTGCTGAAACCACACAGCCTCTGACACACAGCCCACCCTCCCACCCCCCAAGCAATGCTGCAGTGGTGCAGAAGTCTTAAGAGCATTTCCTGAGTAGGCCATGTAAGTGCCCAGAGCAGGAGAGGACTCTGGGAGACTGACAGAGTTCTGAAGCACAGACAACATGGGGGTAAATCACAGTATGTCTTCTTCCTACTACCACACTCCCCCATTCCAGACAGGAGGTCTCTCTTCCAAGTAGGGGTCTTAGTGGGGGTGCTGGGTTGGAAGAAATAGAGTAGGGCCCTGGTAATCAACAATGCCCTAGAAGGATGACTGGTTCCTACTCAGGAGAGAAGCTGCCCATTGCTCCACTCACAGGCAGAGCACACTGGCCTTCCTGCACCCTGCAACCAAGAAGCCAGTGTCTGGGGACCCCCCACTACCATTCCTCAAGCAACTGTGAAATCTGATAAAGAACCAACCCAACAGGAAATCTTGACGACAAAGATGAGGTGCTATCAATATCATTAAAAATGTGACAAAATCCAAACTGTGAAAATTGATAATGCATCCAAAAGACCATTCCACAGAATGTGCACCTAAAATAGCAAATTTCATAGACCAAGAAGAAATCTAAAATAAATGTCATTAAGGTTGCAAAGAGCTGCTAGGAGATAGAGAGCTATGGTAATATTTCCTATTGACAGGGGTGTAAATTGGAAGAGATATTTTGAATGGCAAGTTAACATCTCATTAAAATACAACATGTGCACCCCGTTGACATGACTTCTTGGTACCTACTCTGGAGAAACATTTGCATGGTGCATGTGTACGTGTGTGTATTGTAGCTCCTCTTAGATGATCAGGAACTTAATGATAACCTGGATGTCTCTCCATCGAGGAATGGCTTACTATCTACAGTAGAAGTGTCAGGTTTATTGATTGCATACTAGGTACCATTCATGATTCTAAGTTCTTTGTATATATGAATTACTTTAATCTTCATAATAGCTCCTATTGCTATTATTACCTGCACTTTACAGTCAAAGCAATTGCTATTCAGAGTTAAAGTAATTCGCCCAAGATCACACAGCTAGCAAGTACAGGGGCAGGGTTTGAACCCAGACAGTCTGAGTCTAACTTGGGTGCCTCCACCTACTACTATATGTCCTGCCTGTCAAAGTGAAGGTGGGAGACCTAAGAACAGTAATGTGCATCAACAAGATACAGGCTCACTGTAGAAATTTAACATGGACACTTGATGGTTTAGGACATATATACACCCATGAAACCATCATCGCAATCAATGCCGTAAAGTTACCCGTCACCTCCAAACGCTTCCTCCTGTCCTCTTTGTTTTGTTTTGTCTTGGTTTTTCACTTTTGTGATAAGAGCAGTTAGCATAAGAGCTACCATCCTTGCCAGGGCTTTAAGGATGCAATACAGTATTGTCAATCACATACACGTAGTGGAGATGTACAGTACATCTCTAGAACTGATGTATTCTTTATAGGTCAATCATACTTCAAGAACATGGTTTAGAAATTATTTTAAAAATAGAATTTATACCTGTTTCTTAGGCTTTTTCTCAGCTATTTGATTTGTTGTTTTGTGAAGGTGTGAAATTCGCACCAAGTTTTCTGGGCACTGTCAAGCTATTATGGTCAAAGAGGAGGCAGGGAATGGGATGAGGCAGGGGAAATAGGAGAAACCTTTCATGGCATAAGTAGGCAAAGGTGTGATACACTTGTTCATCCATCTATTTGTTTGTGCCAGGCAGACCCTAGAAAGGATTGTATGTGATGGAAAAAAAGACACAGGCACAAGACTCTTGTAAGGTGAAGAAATCAAAGTGAAGAGAAAACAGGAAATTGCATGTGGGAGAGTCCCAGGAAACTTACCAGAGGTGGGGGCTTGGGACTCTAACATGTCCATTACGTGTTTCACCACCTTCATTAGGCAAAATATCAACTGGTTGTTCATGGAAAATATGACTAATTTTGAAAGACACTCTGTAATATTATGAACAGTGACCTAAATTACAAGAAAGGCAGCAGTGAATATTATAGTGCTCTTTTGAAGATGCAAAACAAATTATTCCTCACTACAAAATTAATAAAGGCTCAAGGTAGAGCATTCAGAAAATCAGAGATAAAACTTTAGAAGCAGACATTAACCATCTCCCTTCTCTGCCCAGTACCAAGTAATGTCATTGAAGAAACATAAAAATAAGCAAGACCTGTAGCTAGAACGGGAGCCAAGGGCAGAAGCCATCCAAATACCAGAAACTCCAAGAATTCCCAGAATGTGAAAGAGCAGATTAAATCCAGAAGCCAAGTGTCATTTATAATTCTGCCCTTGGGAAAGCTACGTGGCCTTGTAGAAATTTTAAAAATCCTCAATTTATTGGGTGAGGGCAGCAGGTGAGAACAGGGCATGGCCTACACTGGAGTCATTTTGGTGCTCAGCTCACTGAAATTGAGGGCAGCTGTGAGTGGCAGGGTTAGGAGTTTATGCCACTTAGCAAGAGAAGGCATGAGACGGAGATTTTCTGCATGGTAGCAAGGCTGTCTGTGGAGAGTCTTAGAGCCGGAGGCAGCCTGGAGGGAGACAATTAGCGAAACAGGCACATGGCAATGGCAACTAACCAAGGGGAGGAGAGGAACAGGAGTGGCTGCAGTCTATTTTTTACTGCTTTTTGCTAAAGTGGTCGTTTCCTTACACAACAATTCCAGAGAAGTTAAAAATTTTAAGCCTTTTTAGGAAAAATGAGATTGAGAATAATTAGGAAAATATCAGTAAGAGGAGACAGATACAGTATCAGATATGAAGATGTAAGACTTTGATAGTTAGAACAATATGATATTGAAACCAGAATAAGATATGTAGGCCATTGAAAACTTCAAACAAGTTGGGAAAAAATGAATTAGTCAGTGTATGGTGTTAGAATAGCTGATTAGTCATTTAAAAAATATTAGATCACTACATACTATAGTTAATTACAAAGTAAATTCCAGTTGGATTGAAAAAGTGAACATGTTAAACATGAAAGGATTATTAGTAAAAGAACATTTAGGTGACACTTTCATAGTATTGGTGATGTCATAACCTTTCTAGGAATCCCACCAAAGGCAGAAACAATCAAGGAAATATAGTTTTTACTACATCAAGAATTTTAAGTTATTGGCCAGACATGGTGGCTCACGTGTGTAATCCCAGTACTCTGAGAGGCCATGGCAGGTTGAGCTTAGGAGTTTGAGACCAGCCTGAGCAAGAGCAAGATTCCATCTCTACTAAAAATAGAAAAATTTGCCAAGAGTTGTGGCTGGTGCCTCTAGTCCCAGCTACTTGGGAGGCTGAATTAAGAGGATCACTTGAGCCCAGGAGGTTGAGGTTGCTGTGAGCTGTGATGCCACAGCACGCTACCCAGGTGATAGAGTGAGACTACGTCACAAAAAAAATTAATTTACTTATATAAATAATAAGTACTCATAAAATAATCTCAAAAGCAAAATTAAAAATAGAAAAATATTTGTGTATAACAGGCTAAGAACAATATCCTTCTTATAAAGAGCTATGGAATAGGAATAAGAAGATGCCAACTGAGAAATGGGCAATTGGCATGAACAATAGTAAGATTCAAAGAAACACAATAAATAGAAGATACATAGAAAAGCTCATTTTGACTACTAATTAAAGACTTACAAGATTAAACATTTGAATACAAAGTTTTACTAACCAAACAACAAGATTAAAAGGCAAAGTCCTCTTGGTGTTGAGAGAGTGTTTAAAAAAAAAAAAAAAACACCTCTGTACACTTACGGTGAGAGCTATAAATTTTAAACACTTTATACTTGCCAAAAACTTATAAACTTGTTTCCAAGAGTTCATCCTAAGTAAATAACCGGAGATTGGCACATAAATACATAGCTATTATTTATAATAAAAATTATTAGAGACAATGTAAATATGTAATGATCTGCTATTGATAAAATTGGTGTAACCATAGGGGAAAGTACTATTTATCAGCGCTTTTCAAATTGCACTTCACATCCTGGCCTCCAGGGGGCTCATTTTTCCGGACTGTTCCCAGCAGGTCTGGGTGGTGCTACGGTCACCCAGTTTCCACCTGAGCTCCCGGAGCTTTCTGTATGTTTCCTTACCGTGTTTAAGGTAAAATTGTATTTGAGGAATGACTCTTGTCACCTGAAAAAAATGTCAATGCTACTTGCACCGGTGCAGATTTCTTAACCTATTTTCAGAAAAATGAGGTTACAAGGCAGCATATATACTATGATCTCATTTTTGAGAGTGAAATCCATATACAGGGCGGCCATAAAGTCCATGTGCGGTTTTATAAAGTTTGTGTGCGATTTTAAATTTTAAATTGTACACGGACTTTATGGCCACCCTGTATTACCTATAAAGGCACTATCAAAATTTAAACTGGCTGTTTCTGAGTGATGCCATTGTGGATTTTTTTTCTTCCTTTTGCTTATTTTTATTTGCTAGTATTTCTGTAGCCATGATGTGTAACTTGTATGTTTTTTTTTTTTTAATTCATGCATTGCATGAAAAGGAGCAAGGCTAAGGTAGAGAAGTACAGAATTGGACAAAAACAAACAGAAGAGGGAGTCTGACTTTCTATGGGTGAGAAACACGAGACAGCCCACCTAACACTCAAACCTGAATTGCACCTGTTCAGTCCAGATCCTTCAGCCCTGGTCACTCTGCATGGCAAGTGGGCCCAGCTGGCTGGCAGGCCAGCAGTCTTTCTGCTGTGGTAGCCGCCTAAAAGCCTAAGACAGTGGGGTGTTCCCTACATAGCCCGGCACCAACATGGGAAAAATAACCCCAAGCTTGTACCCTGCTGGGAATGTAAAGGAAACATTTTCATGCTCCTAAAGCATCATTTTATATTCTTTTAATCTGGTTTTTTCATGTCCATCCTTCTTAAAAGTGAATGCATACTAGTCCATTAAATAGAACCTGTATGGGGCCCAGCAGTCGCAAGTTACCCCTAAAGTCTAGGTCCCAGGACAGAAAGGAGCAGCTAATATTTGAATTATAACCAGTGAAAGACAAAACAGAGGCAATTGTTAGTGTCACAAAGGTCCATGGAAACATATCAGGCTTCACAATCTTGGCATCAAGAAGAAAACCCCTCCAGCTACATTTGCTGCTGTCATAATCCCTGCTTCTTTCCTGGCCCGAACTCTCACTGCTCCCCTCCACCCCAGATATTTTTCTATTCCATCAGGCACCAGTTCCTCCGGTCACCAAATTTTCATGGAAAATTTCCCTCCACCTCCTGCCTCTTGATCTCTCACAAGGGAGCTCCTTAGCCTTCTTCCTTGGGTACCTCATGACCTAGTGATGGTGGAGACGTTTTCCTACCTTTGTGGACCACTTCTGGACCATGTCACTCTGTCATCACGTGTGTGTGCCACTCTGTTCCTCTGGTGTTCATGCTGTCAATCTAGACCACCTTCTACAAGGCCAGCCTGTGTACCTATGCCCACAGCCCTCCTCCAGTGAAAATGTTGACACTATTCTCAGTCTCTCTCTCACCCTCCATACTGTCCTCATCCTGCAGACTTTGACATCTGCATAGACAAACCATCCAACCACATGACCACTCAGATTCTCGCTCTCCCCAAGTCTAGTGAGAGGAGCTCACAAAGGTGACTCACAGAGCTTGACATGTTCTCTGTATTTGGGGGGCACTGCAGACCAAGGAAGAACTCACACCTGAGAAAGCTAAAAAGAGAGTGGCTGATGACCCATGGTCCCAGCCCAGGGGGCTGATGTAGAACCTGTATTGAGAAGTTTGCAAGGAGCTATGTTTAAAAAAAAAAAAAAGTCTCTGTTCTAGACATTTCTGTCAGAGAAGCGCCGAAGTGACCAGGAAGGAATGAAAGGACACCACCCTAGTCAAGCAAGTGGCAATCCTGAGACCCCACAGGAGAGATTCCAGAGAACCCAGGAAAGTTCCTCAAAGGCCAGGCATCAGCTTTGGACAGCAGCCCATCACAGAGAGCGCAACATGGTCTCATGACAGTATCAGTCAAGGAGGGACTCTACTGTCCCCTTTCCCCTCCTTGTTCCCTGCTCCCAACTCCAGAGAGGGCCAGAAATGGTTAACAACCTGGGGAAGGGTTAGGAGCACCAAATGGGAAGAGAAAGCAGGAGAGCTGGTCTCCCTTCGCAGACTCCAGGTTCTTATCCAAAGCAGACCCATCTGGGGGAGAAAGATTTAATTTGAAATCATATTGGGAATTTTGAGTCTTTATTGTTATCTAGGATTTTACCAATTTTTATATGAACTACTAAATTGATGCAATGTTTACCACCTAAAATGACCATAGGAATTTTAAATCACCTATGAGTTAGCACGGTTATTAAGGGAGCTGGCCTGAGTTTTCAAACCAGCGCACGGGAACCACCACCCTCACGGGATGACTGGGTGTGTGTAAGGGTGCAGGGCAGGATCTGCCAACTAGTTACTATAATTCTATCCCAGGATCCTGTTTCTTTAATGGGCCAGTAACAACTTTTTCTAAATATGTTCCCTATCTCCTTCCACTGTGTGTAACTCAGCAAGAAGAGAACCCTAGATATTATTTTCTCAAATATTTAGTATTCAAAATTTTAGTAGTAACCTCGGTTCTTCTAGAATTTTTCCTGGTTCTTTTAGCTCCCTGGCCACAGCCTACATACCATGCTAGAATACCACATGACTCTATATTCCAACCCCACCCAAAGACACATATCTGCTTTCCAATTGGAAAGTTGGGGAGCCAGGATGAAAGGAGAAGGCCCCCAGGCCCAGTTGGCACAGACGGTGTGCCTACCAGGTGAGGGAGTTAGAAGCAGAGCTTCCACAACAGCTCAACGGAAAGCATCACTTCACAAACTGGTGTTTTTTAAAAGCACGTTTACACATGTTAATCGTCTCTCTCAGGCCTAGCCCCATGACCTGCTGAGGTGGTCAGACTAGGTACTTTTGATCCATTTTAAAGGGGAAAAACTGAGTTGAGACTAAGTGATTTGGCCCAGGTCAGAATATTACAACTGAAAGAGGCCACATCCAGTGTGTAGGGTTATAGCTGTCAGGCTTTAGGACTTGGTTTGAATAAGCCCTACTCTCCAGGGTTCCTGGTCTGCCCCACAATGCCATCCACGTTCCCACAAAGAATAGAAGTCTCCATCCCATTTGGCAAATACCTCTCCAAGACTGTCCCAGTGCTTTGTAGTGCTAGGTAAAATGGAAGGATGTCACATGGACTAATAACCAGATTACTGCTTTGTAACCAGAAAAATGGACTGCATTTTGGTGGACACAGCTCAGCATTTGTGCAGCTAAATGCATGTGGTACACCCTGAGCTCCCTACTACTGTAGGCACGGATGCAGCAACATCTCAAGTCAGGGAACAGGAAGGGGAGCAGAAATTGGGGAGCCCCAACCTTATGCCAGGCAGTGTGCTGGCTTCTGTTCGAGCCTCTCTATACCTCTATATACCTCTCTATACCATCAGCCCTACAGGTTTCAGCAGCCCCATCACAGGTACCATCAGTCTCGTTTACACGGGAGGAACAGGAGGCTCTGGAAGCCTCTGAGAGGTCCAGCGTGGCTCTGCCGCTGTGATCTTCTCTTCACTAGACTCTACTGTGCTCCCCAAAGATGTTGCCACATAACCATACATCCCTCTCTATTCTCTGAGCAGAAAAGCAAGCTAAAGTGCTCATCATAATTGCCTGGATCCTCTCCTTCCTGTTCTCCATTCCCACTCTGATCATATTTGGGAAAAGGACACTCTCCAACGGTGAAGTGCAGTGCTGGGCCCTCTGGCCTGACGACTCCTACTGGACCCCTTACATGACCATCGTGGCCTTCTTGGTGTACTTCATCCCTTTGACAATCATCAGGTAAGAGGCCATGGGCCAGACGCACAACAGACTATCCTGCTTAGCCAGGGCTGCTCCCCTCCCCTCTAGGTCACTGGGTATTCCTCATGCCCTTGGGGGAACTGGCCAGAGCAGGAGATTTTAGCTAACAAGCCAACCTCCTTCAAAACAGAATAAGGAGAAGGGAGCTAACACTTCCTGAGTAGGTGCTATAGAGCCAGCATTGTGCTAAGTAGCTAACAGTTATCCTGTTAGCCTCAGTACAACCCTGTGAAATGGCTACTGTTGTCCCCATTTTTATGAACAATGAAGTTCAAACATAAAGAGGTTAAATATTTACCCAACATCACTGGGGTTGAAATTCAGATTTGTCTGATTTCATACTCTATTCTTTCTCCTCTACCATGCAGCCTTTCAAGTACAAGGAAAAATGCAAATTTCAGGGATCTTATAAATGAAGAGTTAGATGTACTTGAAACAAACTAAACAGAAAACTCAGTATTCACTAACATGATAGGATTGAGTACCCAGTGGGGTCAGGCTGTGGCAAGATCACTTCCCGGGAGCTAGCCCTGAAGGAGAGAAGGATTCAGGTAGGAAGGTAAGGATTCAGGTAAGGAAGAGAAGGAAGCAGCCTCCGTGATGACCAGAGGTCAGACAGAATGTGAGGATGGTGTGTGGACAGGTCAGCAGTGCCAATTGGCACTGAGCTTCCTTCCAGTGGTGGGAGAGGCTCACTTGTAAAGGGCCTTGGAAGCCAAGCCATAGGATGTCCTTGGGTCCTGCAGCTGGCGGTGAGCCTCAGAGGATCTTTCATTAGAGGTGAGCACAGTCTCCTGAGCAAAGTATTTCTCATTGGCCATGAGGCGGGGTCACCCTCTGGAACAGGGGCTCTGCATGTGTGGGTGGGGTGGGAGATTCACAGGAAGACCTGGTGTATTCTCCTGGGCCACACTGATCCTGCCTCTCTCGAGTTGTCTTGAGCTTATCATGGTCTCTCATATGTCACAAGCAAAGAAGTTCAGCCTTTAGTTTTTGATTATATAAATAAGGCTGTGATAAAAAATCTCTGTTCTTAAAATTGCGCATGAATCTCTGATTATTTCCTCATAACTCATTCTGATGGAATTGCTAGAACAAAGATGAGGCTTATTTTAAGACTTTTATGTGTATTCACAAACTCCCCTTTAGAAAAGGTGCATTCTAGCTAAGGCCAGACAAAGGCTCTTGTTTCTTCTTCCCCTGATCCAACAGAAGGCCGTAGCATTTCTTTATTAAATCTTTACTACCTTGAGAGGTTCAAAAAGTAACCCTTAGTTTTAATCAGCATTTCCTTAATTATTTAAGCCAGTCGATAGCTTTTTGAGTGTTGTCTGACATGGGAGTCACCTTTCCCTGCTCATTTCTCATCTCTTCTTCATCATATACTAACGGGGGGAGAAATCTTATCCATCATGTGATCGTGTGGTCCAGACTTCGAATTTTTTGTAAGAATAAACTTAGAGCTAAAAGAAGCTAAGTGACTTATTCCCCCCTCAGAGGCTGAGCCAGGCAGGAGCAGAGTGACCCCAATATCCAAACCAGCATCTGGCCATCTCTGGGGATGGATGAATTAACACATGCATTTTATTTCAACTTACTGCCCTCCTCTTCACCAAGCGAAGCTTGGGAAAAAGTCTGAAGAAGGTTATAATCAAAGGTTAGTTGCAATAATGTGGGAAGGGAGACGAATGTGGAAGGAAGCAGCTCAGGCCATCACAGGCAATGGAAGCATCGGTCTCAATGGCATCACCTGTTCTTGCTTTTGTTTTTTTTTTTTGAAAAGTTAATTTATTTCAGGTTAACGTGAGGATACAAACAACCAGGTCAAAATATTTGATTTTGTTAGGTAGACTCCCTTTTGTGGTTATGTCCCACACACAAAAGGTATGCTCAACACCCCTACCCTGTGCCCATTCAGTGAGAGCACCCCAACCTTCTCCCCCTACTTCCTTACCCCTCCCCAAGACTTGAATTGAAATGAGTTTTTCTTCGACATGGGCCTGCACCTCCTATGCGGGCAGACTGGCTTCATAGTAGTATCGAGCACATTGGATAATTGCTTTTCCATTATTCTGATACGTTACTAAGAAGAATGTGTTTCAACTCCATCCGGAATATTACAAAAGATGCAAAGTCACCATCTTTTTATGGCTGAATAATATTCCACGGTGTGCATGTACCACAATTTGTTAATCCGTTCCTGGGTAGATGGACATTTAGGCTGTTTCTGTGTCGTGGTGATTGTAAATTCAGCTGTGATAAATAATCTAGTGCAAATGTCCTTATGACAAAATGACTTTTTTTCTACTGGGTAGATGCTTAGTAGTGGGACTGTGGGGTCAAGTGGGAGATCTACTTTGAGTTCCTTGAGGATTTTCCATACTTCTTTCCAAAAAGGCCATATTCATTTGTAGTCCCACCAACGGTGTAAAAGTGTTCCCCTCTCTCCACATCCACACCAGCATCTGCTGCTTTGGGACTTTGTGATGTGGGCTAGTCTTACTGGGGTTAGGCGATATCTCAGAGTGGTTTATTTGCATTTCTCTGATGATTAGGGATGATGAAACTTTTTTCATATGTTTGTTACCCATTCTTCTGTCTTCTTTAGAGAAGGATCTATTCATGTCTCTTGCCCAGTGATATTTGGGATTGTTAGCTCTTTTTCCTGTTGATTAATCTGAATTTTCTGTAGATCCTAGTTATTACGCCTTTCCTGATTCTAATATCTTGCTTCACTCTTGATTGACTTTCCATCAGCTCCAGTCACAGCCCCCACGCCATGGAGCAGAACACACTGCTCACGGTGCCTCAGGCCTGAAATTCCTCCCATTAATTAAGCTGCTTTTTCCACCAGGACTTCTCCTCCAATTTGCCTACAGGCTCACCTGTGGGTAGTTTTTTACAGTGTCCTTGAAAAGGCAAAACAGTGTATTCAGGACTGAAAGGAAATGATTTCAAAAGCAGATTTCCCGCAGTTCTCCCCAGCCCTGTCCTCTGTGAGGCCTGCTCTTTGCTTTCTGCTTCTGCCCATGGGGGAGCCATGGAAGCTCAGTGGCATCCCTGCGCTGCTCTGAACTGTTCCCTGCTTGACAAGACGCGGCAAAGCCCCCTTCTCTCTTCCATGGGCAGGGAAAGTGCCTGTGCCCCCCGCCAATGAAGGAAGAACTTCTCTGGGGGACACGGCGTTCTCCACCTCCTGCAGCTACAGCTCCCTTCTCAAACCAATACCAGCCCTGCTGGGATTTTGTGAGAGATTTGTTTTCCAGCTACTTCCTGGTTGAGTTGCCACGATGTCATCTCCCTCAGAGCTGAGGGTTAACTCTTTTCCTCGCTTCCTCTCTCTGTCCCCCCTCCCTTCCTTTTTTCCTTTTAGTTACCCCCGACTCAATTCTGTGGCTTAGGCCTCTTTAGGGTAAAGTTAAACTCTTCATGCCAAGCTCAGGCGGACAAAGGAGACACATGCTGTATGTGTGTATATGTCTTTACCAATTTGATAGGCAAAAAGAAAAAAAAAACCCATATCCTTGGTGGCACCTGTGGCTCAAACAAGTAGGGTGCCGGCCCCCTATACCGGAGGTGGCAGGTTCAAACCTGGCTCTGGCAAAAAAAAAAAAAAAAAAAAACTGGCAAAAAAAAAAAAAAAAAAAAAACATATTCTTGTTTTCATTTGTATTTCCTTCATTACAAATGAGATTAAACGTATTTTATATGTTTATTACTATTTTTTAAATACTTATACTTTTTTACCATTTTTGTTGTCTGGAGGTAGTAATTTTCTTTGTTCTCTATCTTTAGAGATGTTGTTTATGCAACAATAACCTATGTCTTTTTTTAATATATTGCAAATATTTCCCTAATTTGCCAGTGGCCTCTTCATATTGAAGATGGCTTTATTTTGTTTTTACTCCTTAGCCATTGACATAATAAAGAAAAGGATAAAAAGGACAAATAACCAGACAAGTGGCTTTTCTGCAAGAATACCATATGTTTTTACTTATCACAGCTTTGCATGCATTAATACCTGCTAGGACAAGATGACTTGTCTTTTTCAAAGACTCCCTGGTGATGCCAGGGGGAGCCACTGTCACCCTCTTTTTGCACCAACAGCCCCAGCCGGGCAATAAACCATTTGTCGTTTGCAGAACACTCATGTTCCTCTCACCTCTGTGCCCCTGTAAGCGTCATTCCTCCTGCCTGAGCACTCTTCTGAGCTCACCCTGCCTTGCTTCTGGAAAATTAGCTGACAACCTTTATATCGCATTTCTGAACCAGCTCCACAGTGGAGCTGTCCTTGCCAAGCCTGGGCCAAGAGGTGCCTGGGGGCTTCCCTCCCTACCACCAACCTCACTTTATCCATGTTGGCATTAAGATTTCATGGTAATATAATTGCCTGCTTGTGTGGCTGTATCTCATGAGTGCAGGGACTCACAAGTGCCAACCTCCACTTAATAGACACTTTGCAAATGTCAGTGGACAATGGAGGCCTGACTGACAAACTGCACCCATCTCAGAACAAATATGTCATTTATATCATCTCTCTCTCTCTCTCTCTCACACACACACACACACACATACACATGGACGTCCATATGCCCTTAATGTAGAAATGCCTGGCTATATTGTGTCTAGATCAACTTTTGGCATATGGTAGCACCTCCATAAATATACATGAGAGGAAAGAGAAGGAGAGAAAGAAGGGGGGAGGAAGAAAGAAAGGGAGAGAAAGAAAGAGAGAGGAAGGAGCTGTATTGTCTGCGGCAGACTCTCTTGAGGGCTGCACATGAATAAAGATGTCGCTATTCCGTCATCAACTAAATCAGGCTCCCAGAGCTTGAAACCATAGTGACTGACAGCAAAGGCAATACGTTGTTTTTCTGGGTCAAAACAACTCCTGTTGTTTCAAAATTCAGTTGCTGTAACTGTCTAATTGTCGCCGAGGAGGTTATTAGCTTTCGTATAATTGCTTTCCTTTAGCTGTG